TCATTAAAATTTGCAACCTCATGATTATTGCTTTCTATGCTCCCAGCATTTCTCATAAAATACTCCCCTTACAGTTGGCTGCTTCTTGTAAGAATATTGTTTCATTCTCACAAAGGCTCTTACCAGTAAATTGAACTAGGGGAGTATATACACAGGCCTTGTATTTTTCTTGTGAAGCCTAGGAGCACTGAGTCCCTGGGAAACGTAGATGAGTGTGCTGTATCCACATGCTGTCCTCCACAGACTTCATTCTCTGCATTTATCCTTGGTGACGTGGCAGCCCTGGTAAGCTTTACTTACACTGAAAAATGTAATTGTGTTTTTTCTCTCTCAGTATGTAAGAACTGGAAGTTGTTTGGTACTCACTGTCATAAAGAGAGAAACTTATCATGCCACCAAATCATTGCTCCCAAGCTGTCATATTGAGTATTGATCCTTTGTTTCTGAGTAAGCAAGCCCTGTGGTTGATCATCATCATTCTAGGATGTCTCGTTGTAGTGAATGGATCAATAATGTCTTCAGTGGCCTGCATCTGTGTGCTCCCCTCTGCTATTCAGAGGCTGTCAGGAAGCAGTGAGGCCAGCTGCTCGTCAGGGGTGGAGAGCCCAGAGCTGCATGTGGCAGGGCTGACTTAAAGCTGCATTTGCAAAGCAGAGAGCTGCACTCTCACTAACGTACCTTAGAGTGTTAAACATCTGCTAACCTTACTTCCGAACCTTTCTAATAGATGAGACTATTAGCTTTCGTTAGTCACAAAGCTCAGTAATTCTGAAGTTGCAGATGAAGGGTGTGTGTTTTGTTGGGGATTTCTTCATTTTGTCAGGAGTTGTGGTTTCCTGATTTTATTTTCATACTAACGTGGTAATACAAATCCCATCTTTTGTCCAGGTGTGAAAACAGAGAAAACTTGGCGTTTCTGTGATTGTGTGTGACATTTGCTGTGAATTAGTATTAGATCTAATATAACCGTGTCTGTGTGAAAGTTTAGATAGATAGCTGCTGATCCCTTCCATCAGCTTCAATCCTTTTAGCACACTGACACATTTGGAGTCTAAGAAATATTCGCATCTGCCTTTGACATCTGCCGCCGTGACGGATCGATGCCCGCTGGAAGTCCGCTCCGCTCTGCTCCGCAGCGCGCCCGGCCCGGGCCCTGCCGGCTTCGGGGTGGTGCTGCCCCCTGGCGGAGCTTGGAGAGGACACGCGCTCCTCCAACTGGGATGAAATGGCTGCTCCGCCCCGCAGCCCCGCAGCCCCGCAGCCCCGCAGCCCCGCAGCCCCGCAGCCCCGCAGCCCCGCAGCCCCGCAGCGCACTCCTCCCGCCCGTGCTCGGGGTAACGCGGGGTGCGCGGTGCCCTCCCGTTTCGAGCACTGAGCGCGTCCCGGACTCATGCGGCGGAAGGCGGCCGTGGGTCACGCACCGTGAGCTGCGTGGCCGTTACCGCCTGTGGTGAAGGCGAATTGCGGGGCCCGAAATACCGAAGGGGCTCTGTGGTTCGTTGAAACTTCAGGAGCTCACAGAATTCCTTCTGCGACGCGGCGGGGCGGGGCCGTGCCGGCATCGTGCAGCGAGGGGCCGGGAGCAGGAGGTGGCACTGCTGGATAAAACAAAACGAAGGAATTTTTCAAAGAATATACCGGGACCCGCTTGTTGTGCTCACCCTGCAGCAACTCTTTGTTCTCCAAGGGGAACTAAAAAGCTCCGGGGTTTTATCCTGGTTCTCTGAGGAGTGCTGGGGCCCACCAGCAACGTGCTCCAGCAGTGCAAGGGCACGTATGGATGCAGGGCGGGGTGCAGTCAGATGTGCTTAGGGCCTGCCACGTTGCTGTGGGAGCTGTGATGCTGAGGGTTTGCTGGTCTGGGCCCCAGCAGGGGTTCCAACTGCCCGTGCCTGGAAATGCAGGAAACAACACGCTCCCCCACTGCTGGCTGCAGTCACGCAGTTCAGTTAATAGTGAATCCATTCACTTCAACAAAGCTCTCTCAGCCTTTGCTCAAATGACAGGTGCTCCAGTCCCTTAGTCATCATGGTGGCCCTTCAGTGGACTCTCTTTTTTGTCCTGGAGTGCCCAAAACTGGGCACAAAAATGTGGTCCAACTTCACAAATCTCCTTGGCTTTTGGTTATCAGACTACTGTAAGGAACGTGTTCCCTGGAAGTGGGCAAAAGCAGTGCATTCCAGGCCCCATGTTCATCCTCACTGCTTTTTATGACTGAGTGTTAATCCCTTCAGAGTGTCCCTTCCTTGTTATTAAACCATCACATCAGCTTTTCTCATCAGTGTCCCCTTAATACTATCTACATACTCTGGAACCATTACCTTCTACTAGATGTGTTTTGCTGCTCCCCTTCCTTCCCTGTTCCTTGAAATGTGCCAACCCTGTTATATGCTGCCTCAGCAATACATGTGAAGGTGACTTGGGATATTTGCCAGTCATCTTTGGCTTGTGAACTTCTCACTCGCGTATTTCTGGTCTCTATTTGCTTGTTGTAAATATCTGTTGGAGTCTGGCCTTTGCTTTCCTTAGCTAGTGAATCCAGAGATGGCCCCAGACAGGGCCTTCTGAGGCAGAAAAAGGGCTTTTTTTTCCCTTAACTGCTCAGTAGTTTGTAAGTTTGCCCTTCCAGCATCAGTAAGTTAGTAATGCTGGTGGCTTTGTTTGAAGAGCCTCAGGGAGTGGATCTGTATTTCTGATTATTGATACTAGTGGTGTTACTTTCAAATTTGGAGTGTTAGTGTAGGTCCTGCTTACTTACAGAAGGCAAAACCATTTGAAAATCAAAGTCAATTGCTTTTCATTCTGTTGTTGCATTACACCACTATCTAGCGAATGAAGTTGAGCCATTCAGGAAACTATCTGTAAAGATCATAGCCTAACAGAGTTTACTAGGCTCCGCCAGGGCTGACAAAAGGGGATATGCATACACATATTAGAAAAAAGATTCCTTTCTCTACTCATTTTCCTCATGCTTGGTGCTCTGGAAATGAATATGGCCATGCAGAAGTGAACTGTCACTCTCATTCTCTGGGGCCCACAGTGGTTTTAGTCTAGTGGTCCCTTCATCTATGGTTTTAACTCTACTGAAACCAAAGAGACTCACCATCAGATAAATTAGTGCAGTAGCTCATTGCTTTGTCAACACCCTCTAATGGAAAACAACAACAACAACAAACAACAACAAAAAAAAAACACCAGATGACTTTACTGACATTTGCACGGGCTTTCTTAGATTCTAAGCTGGTTATCTGCCGTCCTTCCCAACTCTGTAGGGAAAGACAAGTGGGTGATATTTTGCACATCCACGAGTCACAGGCTTCAGTGTTTGAGAAAAGCTCTTTCAGCTCAATAGCACATATTCTAGAAAAGCATCTGACCTGCAGGCAGGGTTGGTCATATTTATCTATGTCTATAGCACTGATTTGAGGCTAACTTGTTTGAAAATGCCAGATGGAAAAGGTTGCAGTTTTATTACTGTAAGTATTAATTGCTTTTGTTTTATTAACTTCCTAGGCTGGATTAGAGCACTTGCAATGGACAGAGTGCTTTGCAAATGAAAGTGCAGTATTTTTCCTTGTGTTATTGCATTACACCCTTATCTAGGGAGTAAAATGCTCCTTTCAAGTTGTAACAAGCTGTAATTTCATTGAAGACTCTCTAGTATTCCTGCACAGGAGCACAGTTGCAACAGTTTATTCACAGAAGCCAGAAGGTCAAATTACTGACCCTCTAATGCCCAACTGGAGATACATTATAGCTCTGATGTATCTCGGGTGGGAGTGTTTTCGGTGTGCTGAAGCTGGACGGTTTGTACCCTTCAAAGACATTCCAAGCTGTTGTAGCCGTTCGAAGCATCACTGTCCTTTCCTGCTCCTTTAACACAAGGAGAGCCAAGAGGCTGTTTGGCAGTGAAAGGCTTGTTTTCTCCCATGCCTTGGGAAACTGTGCTCTGCTGTGTGAGGTGCTAGGAGTCATTCTGCAGCTGAAGGTGGCTTAGTGGTTTATTGAAAGTCTGTTCACTTACAACACAGGGCAGTAATCTGGTTGCAATACAGTAAGCACTTCATATTTTGCAGCATGCTTCTTTGCAGCCGGGCGCACTCCATCCTCCCCATAGCCTGCAGATGCCTTGTGTACGCTGGTGGGTTTGAGATGTGGTGCTCAGCCTGAAGTGCAGGAGTGCTGTGCTACCTGGAGCTTGGCTGGAATTCACTGCTGAAACATCAGCAGCTGTCACAGCAATGCAGTGATGTGATGTGATGTGATGTGATGTGGCATGGCACTGTCTGCACATGAGTGTTACAGCAATTTCTGATCTGGGATTTTGTGAGTTGCCCACACACCTACATAGGGCTCAGTGACCCCGAGTCAGGAGCTGTTCCTGGAGAATTTCAAAGCAAAGCTCTGTTACCATTCCAGACTTCTGGCCTTTAGCCTGAAAGATTTCCATTGAAGCACTTCACTGCCCGCTGATTCTTGCCCCTAAAATCCTGCTTGCATTTTGTGATTTAATATTTTAATTAAAATGACTCCATTGATTTTAAAGGGAAATTATTCCAACTGACTCCTGCGAAAAACGAGGCTTAATTTTTGCCCTTCTGAAATTGCTTCCAGCAGTGGCTATTTTATCAGGGCCCTTTCTGTTGTGACTTCCATCACCGTCACATTGCAGCTCACAGGAGAGAGCCCTCCAGCTGCTCTGCAGAGCAGAATCATACCGGGCAGAATCGGTGCTCACAGCGCGGCAGCGCGAGGAGATCCGCGGCAGCAGACGCGGCGCTGCAGGTCTTTTCGGACGGTGCCGCGCGCTCCCGTGTCTCAGCGCGGGCCCTCCGCAGGAGGCGCGCGACAAAGCACGTGACGCGCACGGCATCTCGGGGGCGGGGCTGATGTGGGCGGGGCCTCGCGCGTCGCTACGCCTCCAACGGCGACGGCGACGGCGCGGCGCGCTGACGTCGCGCGGCCCGGGCGAACGTTGCGGCGGCGGCGCCGCGCGGGGATGGAGCGGCCGTCGGCGGCGCGGCGGGGGCGCCTCGCTCGGCGGTGGGTGACCCGCGGGCGGCGCCGCCGCCGTCGCTCCCCTGGGCCGCGGCGCGAGCGTGGCGGGGCCGATCTCCGCGGGCCGGGCGCCGAGGCCTCCTCCGGCTCCGCCGCTCGGCCGCGCTTTCGCGCCGCCGCCGCCGCCTCGCGGCCGGCCGGGTCCTTCTCGGCTCCTGCCCGCGGGAAACTCGGCGGGGGCGGCGCGGCGGGGGAGCGGTGCGGGAGGGCGGCGCTCTCGGCCTCGCGGTGCGCGTCGGCAGCCGGAGGCGCGGGGCGGCCGAGCGGAGCCCGCGCGTGGGGGCGCGTTGTGCGCGGTGGCGGCGGCGGCGGCGGCGCAGCGCTGCGGAGGCGCGCGGGGCTGAGGGGCTGGGCTGAGGGGCTGAGGGCCGCCCGCAGCCCCGGCTCCGCTGCTTCACCCGCGGGTTCCGCGCCGCGCTGCCCGGGGCGGGGCGGGCCCGTGGCCGCTCGTTCTGTCCGCTGAGCTGCGGTGGGCTGAGGAATACGTAGAAGCCACTGTATTTCAGGACGAACAAACAAAAAAAAACCTAAAAGTTTTCTTTTGTGCCCCCGCAGTGCTTATCCCACACGATTCTTTGGTTTTCGTGGGCTTTTGGTTTTTTGTTTTTTTCCCCCCAGGGAGCTCCCTGGTTTGAGCTCTGTCAGCGTCTTATTCGGTCATAGTTAAAGGTGCAGTAACCAAAGGCAGTGCTAACCCAGGTGCATCCGTAGCTCTGTAGCTCTTTCCCCCTGCAGGTGTTGCTGCTGCGTGCTGCCTCTGCCCTCCTCTCGCTGTGGGCAGCGCTGGGATTTGTGCCCGGGATGTGCTGAGCACATGGATGGTGGGAGCGGCGCGGTGTAGGGCTGGATTCGCTGCCTGGGGATTTCCACTTTTCTATAGCAAACAATGGCAATTAAGGATTTCTGTTGCATCTCAGTCCTGTTTTTTAATGAATGAACGGTAGAACAACCATTCTAAATGCTGACGTGTTCCTGTATGCTTAGAAGCTTTGTCTGAAATATGGCGCTCTGCAGTGTGATGTTATGCTGTGTGCTCCCTTTATGGTCAGGCTTAACCCAGGTGCCCCAAGTTTTTTCTCTTTGAGTTAAGTTATTAGGGTGAACTACTCAGAATAGGAGGCAATAGTAGAAGCAGTCTCTTGACATTAAATGTGTCAAAGCTGACAGAAATGCACTGCAAGTTAGAATAGGTTCTTCTCTTTGAAGGAGATAGATTTGCGGTGGTGTTTTGTTGCTGATCAGATGTCAATGCTTTTTTCTTACTGTGCTTATTAATTTTGGCAGGTCTTCGTCCTTTATGAAGAAGCTTTGTTGCCAAGACTTGCTGTGAAGATGACCCATACTACTGAATGCAGTTGTCTGCAAATGTAGGAGCCAACAAATGCTATGTCCTGCCCTCCCTTGACTTTCCTCTTTCTCATGGAATATATATTTCTAAAGTATTTCTAGATCTTTACTGAAGATGTTTGGATTATAGCTATGAGCGTATCTATGCAAGCAGATGAGCAAGCCTGAGCAATGCTGAGGTATGTATACCTTTTATATCTCGTAACACGTGGGTAATCAAAATTTGTTATTGAAATCAATAACAGATATGTTTGGAGAGTGAACCTTTGCTAGGGCTTTTCAAGAGTAGCAATGAACAAGGGCTGTAAAACGTGCTACCTGGGCAGAACACAAGTCATTGGGTCTAGGGCTCCCTACGTGCTGTAGGTGGCCAATGTCTGCTATGTGTTGGAGGAAGAGGAATAGTGGGAAGACGTGTAAGGAGAAATCCATCTTATTACAAAGAATTGGAGCATGCTACTTTTCTTTTGGCATGACTAGTCTGAAAGGTGAATTAGTATACATTGGAGAAACGTTGCTCTAGTACTGTTCTGAAGGGTAACTAAAGCATTTCAAAGTATGTTAAAGGGTGCTGAGATACAGAGCTGGGTGGTGGTGTGTCATTGGTCCAACTTAGAAGATGAGCTGTGGTGGGAATTCTGCAGACACCTACGCTTACGGTTTCTTCAGAGAGAAATTTGGCAGATTTCAGTATTTCTCAGAGCTGCGTGTGCTGATCAATCTCCCTTTGTTGGCCCAGTTTTTCATCCTGGAGCTGTTGGCTGTGATTTTCCTGAGGTTAGTTGCCATGGTAATTATCCTGTTAGCAAATAAATATGCTTTTTATAATCTTTGGGTATGGTAATGGGGAGCAAAAAGACTGTTGGCCTTCTTGAGAGCAATAGAAGCTGCAGACCCATGGAGGCTTAGTGTTGGTAAGTCACCACCAGTAGGAGAGAGCTGAACAAGTGCCTGATTGTGGGTGAGTGGTGGCAGTGATGAATAACATCATCTGGTGCCTGAGTAAAGAACAGTGATAGAGTACATTACAGTGAGTCTGAGTAATGGTTAAGATTGGAGAAATGGAAAAGGAGTGACTTCTGTTCAGAGTCTGTTATGGTGGAGCTTACTGATTCAGGTCTAGAGTGATTTACTGAAGTGAAAGCATTTTTGATGGAAAAGAACCTTTCTGAGGGATGTGGCCATTGTGATCCTATGTGATGTGAGATTTGGGTTGAGATAACATCTAGATTCAGTCTTGAGCTGGTCCAGCAGCAGGGTTGTGGTGGGAAGGCTGAAAGCAGAAAACACTGTTCAGTGGTGGGGAGGAACAGGTTAGGGAACATATAAGTAAGGCTGTGGCACCTATTGAGATGCGCCCATGAGAGTGGAAAGAGAACTGGCTGATACCACTGCAAAGCCACTGTTTGTTATCTTGGGAGGGCGGTGCTGATCGAGGAGGGTCCCTATGGACTCAAAGAAAACAAGTTCCACCCATCTTCCAGGGGGAATCTTTTTAAGGAGAGAACCATGAGTGGGTCAGTCAGCTCACCTCCGTTCTGCAGAAGGAGATCAAATAAATAGTGCTAGAAACAGTTTCCAAGCATGTTAAAAAAAACAAGGAGGTGATTGTCTGTTAGTCATTGTGCCTAACCACCCTGACAGCTTTCTACAAAGAGATGACTGGCTTGGTGGGTTTGATTGGTTCAACTGCGGTAGAGCTTTCACCGGTCTACCTTAACTTTCTCATAGGTAAACTGAGGAAATGCAAACTAGATATGTGGACACTGAGGTGGATGAGAAATATTGAGATAGTTTGCTATCCTACTTGTTGTCTGTGTATCTAATTGCTATACTGCTTGTGAGAATTGTGATCAGGGGCAGGAAGGCCCAGCTGGAGGCCTGTTGCTAGTGGAGTTCTCCAGGGTTTGGCACTGTGTTCAATCCTGTTTAGCCTCTTCATTAATAACTTTTAGATGGTGAGGCTTGAGTGATAAGGTAATGTAAGCTACCAGTTTGACTTAAAGAAAAACTAAATCATAGCAAAGTTGCTACTTTTTAACTCAGTCAGTGGGAAACTTTCATATGGCTGATAACAAAAGCAGCTGAGTCAGTGGGAAAAGCATTGTGATTGTTCTGCACCAAATGGCTTGCTGGTGTTAGAAAATAGAAGTTCTCAGGTCCATGCTGCTCAAAGAAGGAATGCTGGTTTTGAGTCACTGGGGGGAATATTTTACCAGTCTGTGCCAGATTAGGTCAGCTGTCATCTTCCACAAGTCAGTGTGAATGTGATACTTTCCAAAACCCAGGGATAGGGACACATGTTAAAATCACATGTAGCCTGGGTTGCTGGTAGATCTCTTCCTTTGCAAGCCTACTGATGTAACATGTATCAACCCTCTTGTAACTCCAAGCCTGTAGTAAAGCTTTGTTTGTAGAACTAGAGGTCTCAAATCTTGTCCTCTGTGCTGGCATTGTCACAGATGGAGGTGCTGGGAGCTGCAAGGAGAAGCAGTCTCTTTCTGACCAGTTCTTTCGACTCAGTCTCTGTAGTGCCCGAAATAGCTGTGCTGTAACCTTTTATCTCCTCTTGGGAAGTGGGATGAAAATAGCTGTTTTTCCTTTCTTTGTGGTTCACTTGTTCCTGACATTTGAGTCAGCTTTGACACATAGTAGCAGCATCTCCTGGCAGAAGGAAGGAGCATCTCTGAACTTTCTCTACCACACCTCCTTTCTCTGGTGGAAAGTTACTGCCAAAATGCTTGGCATGGCCTAGTAATGTATTTTTCCAGAGTCTGGAACATCTGAGTGAGATAATGCGAATAGCAAGAGTGGGTAATAGGAGTGTAACTGGCCTCAGAAGGAGATACTTAAAGGAATGAAATCAGTACCAGTGATTGAGCTTTTTGACAAGAGGGAAGCTAAAACAGTCTAGATTATCCTTTTCAAATTGCTCCTGTAAATAATTTGGTACTTGCAGGGAGGCCCTCAGCATTGCGCTCAGTGCAGGCTTCTGCCATGAAGGAAATTCCAGACATAGGTGGTCTTCAACAGCACCAATGCGACAGTTGCCTCTGCCACACTGAAATTGGAACTCTCTACCACTGTGTATCCCTTCAACAGAGAACAGTGATTATAACAACTTAAAGCAGTTCCTTTGGATACTGAACTGTGGCATATTTTGACAAGCAGTGCTTAAGACTGCACTTTAAAGGAAACATATTTACAGGTGCATGTTACTGTAGGTGGTTTTTATTGTTGTGGTCCTTAATTTTGAGCTCTCCCCATTTCTGGGTTGAGAAGGGAGCAGAAAACCAGCAGAGATGGCAATTTTCTCTTTATGCATTTTCCTAAAGCTTCACGCCTTAACTCCTGTCCTTCAGCTCATCCTGGCCTCCAGCAGAGCTGAGTGCCCCTGTGGCTGGGCTGTGTGCCTCACGCTGCTTTCACTGTCCTCGTCATCTCTTCCTTGCTGGAATGCTGAGAGTCAAGACATGTTATTACTTGTGTGCTATTTCATTTGTTTGTTTTTTAATATGCAGATCCTGACTGTTCTTTTGATCAGCTGTAATCCCTGGTTTCAAGTTGTGAGCATGTGCAGATATCTAATGAAGAAACAGCTTTTTGCTGGCGATAATATTAGCCAGTACCTCTCTTTTGTAGTCTGGTTTATTTGTTCTTTGTTTCCATATTCCGAGCTCTCTTATTTCTTGAAAACCCACCATTTAAAATATCCTCTTAGTATTTCTTTACTCTTTCTCAAAGAGGAGAGTAGTTTCTTTGTTTACAAAATGCACTATTTGAATAGCAGAAAAGAAATTACTTCTGGTGAATCCTTGTTGAAGATGATGAGAAATCCCATGTCTCCAGCTGCTCTGGCTGTAACTGTAAATATAAGTCTTTTGGTAACACCACTTAGGAGTAATTGTGATGTGTTTCTGCACTGCTTCCCTTCGTCACAACCAGCAATGTGGTCAGTCTTCCCCAACCCAGTGTCACCCAGATTTGAAGTAATTTTCTTGTTTTGGTTTACATCACAGCTCTGTAGACAGCTGTCCCTACCACTAATGGAGTGGTAGGATGTCAGCATGGGGTTGGGAAATAGCTGCAGGAGGCAAAAGAGGCAGTGTGTTTTTTAAGTTGCTCTTGGTCGTGCTGGTGGTGCTGTGAAATCCCAGCCTCTCATCCCTGCTGCTCAGACCGGAGGTGGTGGTTCCCAGGCTCTCCCATCAAGCACTGAGTTCAGAACATGCAGCTGAGCTACTTGCAGAACATATAAACGTGGCTGTAACTTTTTTGTTGTTTAGCAGCAAGCGGAGACATTTGTGAGAAAGTGCTGCATCTTGGCTTTTCTTCCCATCTGTTTTTGAAGGAAGGATGTGGCTTTCCTGAAACATTGCTAAATGAAGGTGGAAGTGTCAGCTCTCAGCCTCATCTTGGCAAACTCCACAGCTGTGAACTGCAGCCTTCTGTAGCTATTTCTGCTGAGTGCTGTGGTGGCCACAATGTGAAGCTGCTAATTTTTTAGTCCATGCTCTGAAGAAATACTTGCTATGAGGCAAGTTTCCTTTCACATCTTGTAAAACAGGCCAGCTTTTAAAGAATCTTTATATATGCCCAGATCCACAAAGGTCTTTTTTTCTTGCAAAGTACCTGCAGGCTGTATTTTCAGTGTTGTTTCTGAGCTTTTAAAATCCATACATATATTATTATTATTTTTTCTTTTCTTGTGTAGAATGATGTATATAGTTGGTAATGTTGGGAAAACAGAATACCCTAGTTAAGTCTTTTTTTAAACCTTGGTTTAACTTTCTTGAGACACTGATTTTATTAAATCCAGTGGAAAACAGCCTTGCAGTGGCTGTGGTAGGCTCCGGGTAAGTACTAAATGCTACGTGCTCATAAGCAAATTGGAAAGCGGCAGCAGTGAGAGATGATGTAGATGTGGGATTAATCATAAGGGTAAAGCTGGTTTGATGCTCTGCTCCAAAGGTCTTAGATAACCTTAAGGCAGCTGCTTGACCTTTGTGTTTTTTGTCTGAAAACTAGGGAAGTAAGAGTAATGCAATATAATGTAGTAGCATTCCCAGGGTACGCACGTAAACCACTCACGTGCTATGGTAAGTTAAACCTATCGCTGTGTTATGCAGTGAAGTTTCATGGGGGTGCTTTAAAGAAAGTTAGTACTTCCTAGAAGGAAGAGCAACAAACTGCTGGACTACAGAACCAGTGTCATTGCCACACAGTCTGATCATTACTGAGTGCAGCACTGTGTTCTTGGAAATTTTCTAATAGGTCTACAAGCTGCAGGCTGCAATTTTTGTTTTGATTTAAGTTTGTGGCATATACAAAACCAGAATGTATAGGCATTGGTACCTCTGTACAGATGGTATTTTTGAAGGAGTCCTGACCTCTGCTTGATAGCTTTAAGACATTGCCTGAGCTCAATGACTGGAATGTTCCAAGTGGTGGAAGAGATTCCAGTACCAAGTGGTGATGCTGCAAAGCAGTGGAAGTGTTCCTGAAAAAGTCAATCCCTTGAGCCAATGCAGCTTCCATGTAAATGAGAAAAATGACCTAGTCTGTGACTTTTTATGTATTTTACTTTCATGTGTGATGTCCTTACTATAAAGTTCTAACCTTGCAGAACAGCTGTTGATCTCCATATAAGCAGCAACCAATGAGCAGTGCTGCTTTCAGTGCAGCAGTGATTTAGGGACTGTGCAGGTGTGGTGCTGAAAGTGTTTGACTCCAGCATGGGTGTGTTCAGGAAGATGTTTTCTAATTAACTGGAAGGAGCAAAAGATCTCTGTTCCTTGTCAAGGGTGTTTGGTGTCTGTTAAAATTACATTTGGGTTACACAGATTCTCTTACCTAAACAATTAATATTTGAACTTTGGGGAACAGAAAACTGCATTAGCTTTGTTGATGAGCAGCGGTAGATATGAAGTTAGAGGAAGGAGCAGTTTCATCAGGCTGTGTATCTGAGAAGAGCATGGTGCTGATAGATCACCTGCTGGTGAATGTGGCCATGGTACCCTTGTGCAGCAGAAGCATTTGAAAAGTTGATGAGTGCAAGGAGTAGAAGTGGTGACTACACTGCGATGTGCTGAAGCACAACATCTGATGTGCTTCTCCCCACTTTCTCTCCTGAGGAGAATGGCTTTTAGTGCCTTCTGTGAGACCTCAGGGAGGTTCTTGCCTTTGGTCACCCATAGCAAACCAGGGTGGACTGTCTGTCTGGTTTAGGCCTGCGAGGACCCAAGGAGAAGGACTGCATGTCACATGTTTTCTGTGGGCTCAGAAGTAATGCCGTATCTGTTCCTGAATATCTTAATACATTGCTCCATGGCTGTAATCCATGCACAGACATAGTTAGCATCTCTGCTGTTTTATTAATGGTGTGCTGGAGTGAGTTTGTGTCGTTTGGTACTCATACGAGTAACAGGTGACTTGTGTAAGCTGTGGGCCTACTCATCAGTTAATTGATTTATAGTGCATGTGTCAGTTGACTTTAGTTCTTCTTACCATAAGCATACATATGTGTTCATAACATTCAGTGCCTTTGCATTCAGAGTTATTCAGGAGTGAGATCTGTATGCATTACTTTCAATAGAATCTAAGTATTTTTCTCCATCTAAAAATACTTAGAAGGCACTAAAAGGCCTTCACCAGTATCACCCTTAGTGTTCTCTCCTTCAGCTTGCTGGAAGGCTTGTAATTTGCATGTAGGAAAACATTAGGCACAGACTGACATGCTGAAAGCCTCGTAACAGGACTGACCGCCACTTTAAGCCCAGATGTCAGTGGCTGAGGCTGTACAACCCCCAGACTGCATTCCTGCTGCATCTGTGCTGTGAGAAGGGAAAGCAAGGGCAGCAGAATCTGCATCATTCAGCTGAGTTCCTTGCTGGCACCTGGATACTGCTGAGAATAGGTTACAGGGTTTAGGAAAATCATTAAACACAAATCAGTAAAACCTATTGCTATCCTACTATGCTGGTTTTGCCCTGTAGCATTATACAGTTGGCAATAGGTCTCTTGTTGTGCCCCACGTCCCCTGCTCCTATTGCAGTGGCAGTTACTCTTCACCCAGTGCCTCCCATCTCTCTGTTTGGCTCCTTATCCAAAGCTGTTGAATTAATTCAGTCTGTTCCTTGGGGCATGCTGTCTGCTGCTGTGCACCATTTGCACAAATGTAGCTGGCTTTGGGCTGTTGCCCTTTTCTGAAGTTTCAGGCACAGAGCCTCAGCAGAGATTTGGCTTATATTACACGTACTCTGAGCAGTTTTTCCTCATCTTCCAGCTGGACTACTCACTGTGCTGATCATCCTGTTCCTGCCTTTCAATTTGCTCTTTCAACCACGCTCCATTTACTTTCCTACACGTACCTTCAGTGTCAGGAATGTGGCCAGGTGAGGAGCAGCCCTATAGCTGTAGTTTTTTGGGCTTCACTAGAATTCCAGATCCTTTCTGGCATGAATTTTGGAGGAGGAACTGTCTTGAAAACTACTGATGTTCTTTCTGTTAAAAACAGTGTTGTTTTTTGGCTCTTAAGTTTTTCCTGCTGCCGTCTCAGCTGTAACTTAATTTCTACTGTAATTTAATTTCTACTTTTTTTTTCTTGCACTTTCCCCAAATTCTTCATTCTCAGATTTTAAAGGTTATTCTGTCAAATCATAATATCTAAATAAATAAATGAAGCTGGTTTCTCCATGTGCTGAGTTGTCTTGCTGGTATCCAGTTGTTCTTTTTTGCTCAAATTATCACTCTGTTGCTGTTGTCTTCCTCTTCAAACATTGTCCAACCCTCAGCCCCAGAATATTACACCCATTCTGGTTTCCCCCGAGTTCCTCTTGCTGACAGGATTACTTTTGAATGCTCAGAGCTCTGTGCCCATTTTTACCCTGCTGCTTGTTGCTGCTGAACAATGATACTTCTAAAATACATTAACCTTTCCATGGATATAAACCACTTGCCATGGTTCCCAGTTACCATTATGTAACTACTGCCCCATCAGCCTTTCTGGTGAAACTGTTTGCCTTGATACAGAATCTATTTAAGAATGTGTTTGGCTGAGCACTGTGGGATTTCTTTGTAGAAGTCATTCTTCCCTGGAAGCAGCAGAAAAAACACTTTTCTTTCTCCAAATAGGAGAGATGGTAAGAATCTGCTGCGTAAGATCCCTGCCAGCTGTGGACTACAGCTGTGTGATCAGATAAGAATCTGGCCTGTTTATGAAATAAAATAAACATGAGAGTTCTTTAGCTAATTGTAGTTGAATATCAGTGTTAAGGACTAGGGATGTTTAAATATTGTACTAATAGTAGATTTTAGAAGGCAGAATCTTTTCTGTTTTCTTCCCCTAGCTCTCTGTGGTTTTTCTTCCAGTTTCTGTGTAGGCTTTGTATCTGTAGCAAGCTCTGCAGCTGTAAACAAGTTGGCTCTGAGTTATTTCGACAGAGTTCATTTGCCTATAGAGAAATATCCCTTCACACACCAAAAATTATGCTCATCTTCTGGTGATTTTATGAGGACAAAGGATGTCAGCACCAGCCCAGGAGGAGCCCTGCTGGGCAGCTGTGCTGTGAGGTATGTTGCTCTTGGCAATGACTGGTTGAATAAGTAATCTCCTTTGGAAAACGTGGGTAAATCAGTAGTGTTAGCATTGTGGCTCTTCTGAAATCTGGCTGCAGAAATGGAGCATGTGTTTGCTCCCTGCTGACAGGTCTGCTCCTGTGTTCCTCCAGCCAGCATCCATCCTGACTGTGGGCTTGTCACAGGAATATTGAGTGTGTCAAAGTGGCCCTGGGAATACTTTGTGCCTACGCTGGGACAGAACAGCTAAACCAGGGTTGTGTCTGTGGGAGTGGTGTGCTTTGCCCAGCTGAGCTTGGATTTCTAAATCTTTTTCTGCTCATTTGTGTTCGTGCTCAGTGTGCTGATGAGACCCTTTATTATATCCATACAAGGAATTATGTTTGCCAGAACAGTGTGGCCTCCAGTAGTCTGTTCTGAAGGAATGGTGCACAGGTGCTGCTGCAGTGAGTGTTGCCTGGTTTTTGCATCCTGACAGATCACAGTGAGGCACAGCAGTGGTTCAGCTTGGGTTACAGAGCACTTAGAACAAGGTTCCTTGTGCAGCACAGTGAAAGGCACTTGTGTTTCACAGTGCTCTCAGCTCTGCATCCTGTTGGCTGAACTCAAGATAAACAAGGTCAACCTTTCTGACCTGTACCCAGAGCATCTGGGTGACTGAAAAGGAGGAGAAAGCAAAATGGGTACAGATCAGCCTGATTTTCAGCTTTGCCCTGAAGTCTAGCTTGCTTCCAGCCCTGACAGGTGGCCAGAAATCCCTGGAGAATATGTGCCTTCCCAAGAACCTCTCAGTTATCCTGTAAGATCCAGTTTTAACTTCAGTTATATTGGTATCCCTTCAGTTAGTTGAAACAGTTTTAAGTAGCCCTGCTTCCAAACACAGTTACATTTAAATTAAAAAATACATATATATAAATTGGAACCATGCTCACTTTATTGTTTGTGTACATCTTTCCTCCCATTTTCAAGAATTGCATCTCATATCCAATTTCTTTTTGCAGTTTTGTTCAGTGGAGGGACTGCTGTATGTCAGCCATGCTAAAGGGCAAGTGATGGAGGCAAGTATTAGTTTATATATTCCTAGTTATCTCATACTGTTTTTACCAGTTTTGCCTTTTCAACTGCTTTGTTTCTTTCCCACTGCTGCTGTGAAATAACTGCACAAATGAAAGACTGTATGGGCATGTTCTGGGAGGGAACCATGTTATATGATCTGCTCAGACTGTGGATATAGAATGACTAACTGTCCCTGATGTACTGTATGCTCATACAAATGGGAAGTGTGTGTTCCTGAGCTTCGTCCTGAAGGCACTGCTTTTCCTCCCTCAAATATAGAACGTAGAGTTGTTACGAGTCGAAAGCAAGCATAAGGCTTCAATGTTATTGCAAATAGATGTGCTAATTTATTCTGCTGATTCACAGTTCTTCTCATTTATGAGTAAAGCAAATGGTTTTTCTCTGCAAAGCTAGATACTAGTACAAATAGGTAGCTCTCAGGACCTTCGTACCAGAAATGCTATTTGAAGAGCTTTGTTCAGACTCACAACAGATTCACCATACAGAAAAGTGAGCAGATGACCACAAAGCTTCTATAGGAGCTTTCTGAGTTATAAGTCAGCGTGATGTCAGCAGTCATTCACAGAAGACATGGGCATAGCAGTGACATGTTTGTAAACTAACTGGGCTCATTTGTTTCAGGTTAGTTTGTAAACTGAAACAAAGCTAATTGGAGCAGTTGATGGTTTCCAGCGGCTAACGAATGCATGGAACTTCAGTGAGACAGAGGTGATACTGTTTTAGATCAACAGTATTGCCAGTGGTAATCTGATAGAAAGCATGTGGTAGATAGTAAAAATGATGGGTGAGGAATATGTTGGACATTTCTGTTCTGAACCCACAGCTTTTCTGTGAGACCAAACTGAAAAATGAATGCCAAGGGAGTAAGCTAAAATGGAAAAGGCAGTTACGGGTCAGCCATCAAGGCTATATTTCATATGGCAAGTAATTCTGTTTTTTTAGCCATTGAGTTTTGTTCACTTAACTGTCTGCTTTTTTGTTTAAGAGTTTTGTTCACTTCTGTCTGCTGGGTGATGAGAAAAATCTAGTTATGCCTTTTTTCTCAAAACAAATTAATAGGGACATGCAATTCAACTTCATGAGAATCAGTAACATTAGAAAAAAGTAGAAGTAACGTTAAGAAAGAGCTTAAAAATCCAACTATGATACTAATCACCTAAAGTGTTATGTATGTAAAAATAAAAGATTGGTTGTTATATCTTTTGATTCTGCCACAATTCCTCTGTGAACGTGGGTAAATATTTTTACTTTTTTCTGAGGTGAGGCTTATTGCTTTGCCTTTAAATGGGTTATTGATTAAAATGATAATATATTTTAACTTGGTGCTTTTAATGTGGTTTCAAAGTGCTCAGCTAAAATACTGTAAGATTCCAGTGGTTTGCTTCCGTAAGTACTGAATGTCTTCTCACCTCCAGCTTAATGCAATGGTGTTTGGGGGGGGAAAAAGAAAAAAAGCAGAAGGGAGTGTGAGGCAGCTCTTGGATGTTTTTGGATGCCAGTTTAAAAAGCATCTTGGAACATCTGTTCTAACCCACTGTGTCGGGTTTCAGGAGTACAAAATTGAAAGCTCTGCAGTTGTAACCTCAGTGCACTGTATTTCTGCAGCTGCTTCAAAGTACAAACGGATGTTCTCAAATCCCAAGCATGTGTTGCATTTCAAATGAAATGTTTTTTAAAGCAAAGGCTGCCTTCTGCCAAGATTGAGTTGACTTCTGTGATCTGGTTTCTGTATTTTTATAGAAGCCTAACCAAAGTGTTTTCCTGCAAGAAAACGATGATCAGCTTCTGAGCATGTGATCTCATGGTGCTAATGTGAAACTCAGATATTGTCCTTCCTTCCTCATTCCCTGCTGTACTTCTCCAGCAGTGTGTTGTTACACGAGTTCTCAGTTGCACAGTAGTGTAACCAACTGCTTTCCAAGCTCTGCTGATGTGAGGAGGGCCAGTTGATGTCTTCTGGAGAAAACCTGTGTGTTTTCCCTGCCATAGGGGCTGAGCTACACGCCGTGGTGCTGCATTCTCTGCCCATTTAGAAGGGTTCCTTCATCTTCTTTTAAAAAGGAGTTTGTTTTCTCTGAGAACTGTGCCCACTGAAACCATTTCACTTGCCTGTCCTTGCTTGACTTTCCTGTCTAGTTTCCAGTGCAGTCAATAGATGCTGGCAGTAATAAAGCATTTCTTACTGCTTGGAGATAAATGGTTAACTGATTTGGAAATGTTCTGTCTTCTTGTATTTATCAAATACTGTGGAGTTAAGCATTCTGCAGGAAAATCAGGTAGGCAGGGCGGATGTTATGACTGAAGCATGTTCCTTTGGTAAGGAACAAAATTGATTCTGCCAAAATGTCTAACGTGTTCTATGGAAGTGTAACTTCATGTTCTGTTAGATACTACTGTGGGCTTTGTTCTTGATAACAAAAAAAAAAAACCTTGCTTTTCCCTTTCTCCTTCCCCACTTTTGTAGACTTTTTTTTGTTGTTTAAAAGAAAAAAGCCTTTCTTGCTTCACTTTGTGCTATGCTTCTTCCCCTAGGCAATAAATGAATTGTCTCATACAAGCTTTGGCTTCTGCACACAGCCTTAGATGCAACTAATACCAGGATTGAGGGATGCTTGGAAAACTGATAAATTTGTTTTGTTAATGGCATGTTTTGTACATTGTTTTTTTAACCCAATAGTTTCTGCATGGATGTGTAATAATGGCTCTTTTGTTTAACATTAGATAAGCATGAGATCACCGTGGCACAGCTGCATGTGTAGTCACTCTTGAAGCAATTGCACACCTAATTGGCTGACAATCTTGGCATTTTTTAAAACAAACACAAGCCTTTTAAAGACAGGGGACATGTTTATTTAAGAATAGTCAAATTAACCTGTGGGGTGTCATCAATGGAGCCCTCTGGCAGTGAACAGTTGTGCGATGACCCTGATCCTGGAGGCAAATCCCAAGATCAAGAGACCAAAAAACAACATGAATCAGAGCAAAAATTATCCAAAATAACACACAATGCTTTGGAGAACATTAATGTGATTGGTCAAGGCTTGAAGCACCTTTTCCAGCATCAGCGCAGGAGGTCGTCAGTTTCTCCACATGATGTTCAGCAAGTTCAGGCTGATTTGGAGTCTGACATGGATTTGGAAAGCCAAAGCGCCTGTGCTGAAATTGATGGTGTCTCCACCCACCCTACAGCTCTGAACCGAGTCCTTCAGCAGATCAGAGTGCCACCTAAAATGAAGAGAGGGACGAGCCTGCACAGCAGGCGGGGCAAGACGGACCCTCCCAAAGGAAGTCCACAGATCAACAGGAGGTCTGCCCAAGATATGCAATCAGGTCGTCCCAGATCATCGTCCACTACAGATGCTCCCACGAACTTGTCCGTGATGGAGATTGCTGCTTCTGTCTGTGTAGGTGGAGAGGAGGCCACAGCAGCAGTAAGTTACTCTAAGTTACTCAGATTTACCTTTGGTATTTATCATCTCCTTGTGTGTGTTTTCTTAAGACATACATCTTGTTTTCAAAAGCAAGTGTCTTTTAGCAAACGCTGATGCTACTGTGTTCAAAATTTTTTTTGTGTGATGAAGCAAAGAGCTTAAAGGGTGCAAGCATTAGTCATTTTCTCACATGACAGGTGCTTATTTTATTTGATTGCTGAAATGAGGACTACTTCTGCAGCATGTTAAGTTGGTCAGATGGTGCATTGCAGACAAGCAAGGAACGATGGGAAGAGCAGCAGCCAGAGTAGTCCTTGTTGGTAGCTATTTCCTGCAACTGATATGGCTTTTTTCTTCCCTTCACATCTTATTGCGTATTTTGTAAAAGTGAGGAATTCCAGTTTGAGCAAATGGAGGAGTGGATTGTTCAGGTTGTTGAGAGGCTCTGGGAATGGAGGCTGCAGCAGGTAACCAAGCTGCAATGCCAGCATGGCCAAATCTGATTTCAGTCAGCCCTACTACTGTGCTGAAATGAGGCTTTGCCGAAATGACAGCCTCTGTTACGTGGCTTGTTCTTGCAAAGTTGTGTGTGTTGGTTTACTGATGATACCAAGTAGTAGTATTTGTCTTAATCTTTCTTGTTTCCCAGATCCGTTTAATTGAAGTGCTTGCAAGATCTTCAAATTGTGGCTTATCATTGTGATCTATTAGTTGCGTAAATATTCCTCTTGGAAGGAGCATTGAGAATCTACCTTTGAGATTTCTGTTCTGACAGCAATTAAAAGAAAAGGAATAGTGATGTATATGGGAAAAGTGGATGCTCTCCAAGAACTGGTTAACTTTGCGGATGAACTGTATCAAAAAGAGCTCTTATACTAGTTTCAGGTTTATTTCCTTGCAAGCTCTTTTTCATTGTGATTGGACTCATGACCTTTATTTCAGGTGAACTTTGAGGAGAGCCAGTAACTTTCCAAGTTTGCATCCAAATCCAGCAACTTGAGTTATGAAGCATGGCAGACTGTTTTGGTCTGTCAGGTTAAAAAACCTGAGCTCATTTAGATCTGGTATACTTGATTTTAAACATGCTTGCTTACTTACAAAGCAGTGTTGCAAGAAAGTGATGTCCTCTGTGCACGTGTGGGAGGGAGGCTGTTCTAAAAGTGCTCACATCTTCATTTAGCAGAGGCACTTGCATCTCTGTGATATCTGCGTGCAGTGTGAGAACCTTTTGTCACGAGGCTGAAGAAGGCCATGGAAATGAAGTTGATGCACTTCAGCATAGCCCCTCTTTATCTCATCATCCGAAGTGTATCTGCTGCTTTCAGACTTGTTACTTCACAGTCTGCCCTTAACCTGAGACGAGCTCTGCTCTAATTTGGGATTGCTTCCTAACTTATCCTGAAAAACATAGGTGGACTTTGAAATAAAATCCTAACAAACCCGTCAGGAGTGCTAACAGCATTTGTTGATATGTCTCTGAGTTTTGATGTTTTAGTAATTTTAGTATCTGTGAATTTTCCCATGTAGAATTGGGAAAGAAAAGAGTGAGCAAGGGGGGAAAAAAACTTAAAATGAGAGCAAGATTTTTTTTAACAGAACCAACTAAAAGCCAAAGCAATGGCAATACTGTCATGAGCTTTTCCTAAGTAAGCTAACAGCAAGGGCCTCTAGTCATACAAGATTCAGTTTACTTCAGAGATTTGATGTGTTTGAACACGACTGAAGCTGAGACGGTACTGGTTCTGGCTTTGCACTTACTTAGACGTGGACAACTACAAGGTAAATCTCAGTCAACATCTGGCTACTTAACAGTGTTCAATTCCAAATGCATTGGGTTACCTAGTGCTCACTCTGCGTAGCATTCTGCAGTTGTGCTTCTATATGGTGTGATTTTTTTAAAATAAAAAGGCTATGGGGTGAATCATCTAAAATGCATCATTTTCCCACCTTTGTCCTGAAATTGTCTTATAACTTTATGAAAGATGTGTGCTTAAGTAAGTTGTCAATCTACATTTAAACAGCTTCAGCTATGACTGATCAAAGCTGAGTAGTGTCTGGAGAAACGTCTGGTTCTTGCCTAAGGTTGATGATGGGAACAGATGCTCTGAAGGTAGTAAAGAAAACCAAAAACTGCCGTGGATTCCATACAGTGGCTTTCTGCAGTGTGGAAAATACCAAAACAAGCAAGAATCGGTGAAAATTGTTCTTACTGGCTGTAAATGAGCAAGGAAACCATACAAACAGCATGGAGCTGTGTCTTTGGTTCCTATCCCAGGCATTGGTGCCATACAGCATCTCATATCTTAGAAAAATGCTGTTGTAAAAGCTGTGCCTGTTAGAGCCTGCAAGCAATGTAGAGCTTCAGAGTTGCTTGGTTCTATTTTCCATAGATGTCCATCATGTGTGTCCATGCAGTAGAGATTTTCAAGCTGGGAAGTTGCTCTTTAATTTGTCAGCTTATTACGTCTTTAATAACTAAAATCAGTGAGTTATCTCAGATAGTGTCAGCTGCCTAGCCATGAAAGCATGGAAGACATTTGAAAAAAAAAAATCTTGGAACCCAGTTTGTAATAGGGAATTCTATGCAGCAGCTAATTGCTAGCATCTCTAGGTCTAGCAGTATAAAGATATTTTCTTGTTCTTCCATCATTATACAAACTTCATTCAGACATGCGTGGTTTTATCAGTTTTTGGTATAATCATATTGTAGAATGGCTTGAGTAGGAGGGGTCCTTAAAGGTCATCTAGTACTCCAGATGGGGCCCCAAGGTCAGGAAGGACTAGAAGAAAGTGGAAATAAATGACTGGAAAGGCTTTGATAGACAAAATACAGTTGAGATAGGCAAAGTGCATAAGTGATTGTGGGACTTAAAGCATTCAGCGGCCCTGCAGGGTTGGTCGTGCTGAAGGAGGGTGTGCTTGTGTCAGCCCTTCACACAGCCCGACCTGCAGTTCAGCTGGCTGTGCTCAGGGCTCTGCTGAAGGTCAGGTGTCTGCTCAGCAAGGGCCTGAAATCAGGAAAGCGTAGTTCAGCTAATTGTTAAATTAGTCTTAGAAGAGCCATCAGTGTGTTTGGCATCTGAGAAGCTAATGTAGCATTCAGTTAATAACTTTTTCTGTAGCGACTCGTATTGCAAAAGCAGTTACCACACAGTTCAAATGATGCAGTTGATAAAGGCTGTTGAGCAACTTGTATTGCAAAAGCAGTTACCACACAGTTCAGATGGAGTCAATAAAGGGCTCGGTAGCATCTGGAACTGTTGCAGTGAACTTAAATGGAGCACAGGTCATGTTAAGCATGAACTCAGCCCTTAAACACTGTCTTTAAGTTATGAGAGGTGAAGTTTTAACACATTGTTGCATCAGGGAAATGGGGTGAAAGTATTTCATCCACCGAACCTGCATTATTTCACAAATCTTATGAAATAGGAATAAGTTCTTTAAAGTACTTTTTAAATAACACTCGGTGTTTGTGGGGAGAGTACTCTGGACCAGCGGGTTCTGCTCTTGCCCATTGTGTATGCAGCAAATCTGTCCTTGATCCCATTTCATATTAACTTCCTCATGACTATCCCGAGTTATCTTCTTTGTGATCTCAATCTTCTCAAAAAAATCTTTGAAAAATAACGCACCACCAATTTTGCTTTCCTGATGTTGCTGTTTCTTCGATGGCAGTGAAGAAACGTGAATGTCAGCAGGCTGACGTTCTTTGCTTTGAAATTCTTTAAAATTTCAGAAATCCAAGTGTAATCTGAAAAATGAGTTGCAGCATCCATCTGATGTGAACGTATCTGTTCTGTAGGGACTGTACAACTCGCAAGGACAAAGAAGCAATGTATTCAGTGAAAATACTGTGATTTAGTAGTGACTAAAACATGTAATGTGAGTATTGCGGTCAAGCAATGTTATTCTCTTTTTTCTACTGAATGTCTTCTGTCCTCAGCTGAACTGCCAGCCGCCATCGCCTGTTGTGCTCTGAGGTTGGTGGCTGCCATTTGTTGTGGAGCTCTTCTGCCCCCATCAGATGCACGGTGGCAATCTTGTGGGATAGATGAGTGGACAGTGAGGTGGGTTGAGAACTGGCTGACTGGCAGAGCACAGAGGGTTGTCATTGGCAGTGCAGAGTCTGGTTGGAGGCCTGTAACCAGCGGTGTTCCCCAGGGGTCGGTGCTGGGTCCGGTCTCATTCAACATCTTCATCAATGACCCTGATGAGGGGATAGTGGCCACCCTCAGCAAGTTTGCTGATGATACGGAGTTGGGAGGATTGGCTGACACGCCTGAAGGCTGTGCTGCCATTCAGCGAGACCTGGACAGGCTGGAGAGCTGGGCAGTAAGAAACCAGATGAGGTTTAACAAAAGCAAGCGTAGAGTCTTGCACCTAGGGAGGAATAATTGCATGCACCGGTACAGGTTGGGGGATGAGCTGCTGGAGAGGAGCTCTGCAGAGAGGGACCTGGGTGTCCTGGTGGACGACAGGTTGGCCATGAGCCAGCAGTGTGCACTTGTGGCCAAAAAGGCCAATGGCATTCTGGGGTGCATTAAAAAGAGCGTGGCCAGCAGGTTGAGGGAGGTGATCCTCCCCCTCTACTCTGCCCTGGTAAGGCCTCATCTGGAGTACTGCGTCCAGTTCTGGGCTCCCCAGTACAAAAAAGACAGGGATCTCTTGGAAAGAGTCCAGCGGAGAGCCACAAAGATGGTGAAGGGCCTGGAGCATCTCCCCTATGAAGAAAGGCTGAGTGAGCTGGGCTTGTTCAGCCTTGAGAAGAGAAGGCTGCAGGGTGACCTCATTGCAGCATTTCAGTATCTAAAGGGAGCCTACAAACAGAAGGGGAATCAACTCTTTGAAAGGGTTGATAACTGCAGGACAAGGGGAAATGGTTTTAAGTTGAGGGAGGGACGATTTAGGTTGGATGTCAGGGGGAAGTTCTTTACAGAGAGAGCGGTGAGGTGCTGGAACAGCTGCCCAGAGAGGCTGTGGATGCTCTGTCCATCCCTGGA